TCTCTCCTTAAGCCAAATCCTATGAGAATAAGATTCCTCATTCCCTCTCACCTTCCCTGTTTCCCCTCCACTGTGAAGACTTTTCTTTTCTGTTTTTTTTTGTGAGATAATTTACCCCATTCTACCTCTCCCTTTCTTCTACGAGTATCATTCTCTCTCATCCCTTAATTTTATTCTCCAGATATGACCCCTTAATCTTCAACTCACCCTGTGCCCTTTATCTATATATATATATACTACATACAATTTTTTTTCCTTCAACTACCCTAATACTGACAAAGTTCTCATGAGTTACAAATATCATCTTTCCATGCAGGAATGTAAACAGTTCAATCTTAATAAGTCTCTTATGATTTCTCTTTCCTGTTTACCTCTTCATGTTCCACTGGAGTCCTGTATTTGAAAGTCAAATTTTCTGTTTAGCTCTGGTCTTTTCATCAGGAATGCTTGAAAGTCCTCTATTTCACTGAATGACCATTTTTTCCCCTGAAGGATTATACTCAGTTTTGCTGGGTAGGTGATTCTTGGTTGTAATCCCATCTCCTTTGCCCTCTGGAATATTCTATTCCATGCCCTGCAGTCCTTTAATGTAGAAGCTGTTAAATCTTGTGTTATCCTGATTGTGTTTCCACAGTACTTGAATTGTTTCCTTCTGGCAGCTTGTAATATTTTCTCCTTGACCTGGGAACTCTGGAATTTGGCTATAATATTCCTAGGAGTTTTCCTTTGGGGATCTCTTTCAGGAGGAGATCTGTGGATTCTTTCAATTTCTATTTTGCCCTCTGGTTCTAAATATCAGGGCAGTTTTCCTTGATAATTTCTTGAAAGATGATGTCTAGGCTCTTTTTTGATCATGGCTTTCAGATAGTCCAATAATTTTTAAATTCTCTCTCCTGGATCTATTTTCCAGGTCAGTTGTTTTTCCAATGAGATATTTCACATTGTTTTCTAATTTTTCATTCTTTTGGATTTGTTTTACAGTGTCTTGATTTCTCATAAAGTCACTAGCTTCCAATTGCTCTATTCTAATTTTTAAGGAAGTATTTTCTTCAGTAATCTTTTGGACTTCCTTTTCCATTTGGCCAATTTTTCTTTTTAGGGCATTTCTCCTCATTGGCTTTTTGGACCTCTTTTGCCATTTGGGTTAGGCTTTTTTAAGGTGTTATTTTCTTCAGTATTTTTTTGGGTCTCCTTTAGCAAGCTGTTGACTTGTTTTTCATGATTTTCTTGCATCACTCTCATTTTCTTCCCAGTTTTCCTCTACTTCCCTTACTTGCTTCTCAAAATCCCTTTTGAGCTCTTCCAAGGCCTGGACTGATTCATATTTTTCTTGGAGGCTTTGGATGTAGGAGCTTTGACTTTGTTGTCTTCTTCTGGTTGTATATTTTGATCTTCTTTTTCACCAAAATAAGATAATATAGTCTGACTCTTTTTGCGCTGCTTGCTCATGATCCCAGCCAATTACTTGAGTTTTAAACTCTTTGTTAAGGTAAGAGTCTGCTTCCAATGTGGAGAGTGTACTGTCCCAAGCTTCAGGGGTTTGTGTAGCTGTTTTCAGAGATACTTGTAGGGACCTGTAAATTTTCAGTTCTTCCAAGGTGGTATGATAAGGGGTGAGGTGTTTACTCCTTTCCTGGCCTGTGACCACAAGTATTCCTTTCTGTCCTGTAACTGTGAGGAGGGGTTCCTCTCCACAGCCACTACAAGCTCCACCACGCCAGTGCTCCTCCTCACCCCAGCACTGCTGCCCAGAACCGTGACCCAGATCCAAAAACGACAAAGCAAGAGATTCCTGCCTCAGCACTGGCAAAGAGATCCCTGCAGTCCCTCTCTGATTAGCCACTGGATTCCTCCTCAGTCTGTGGGCCGGAAGCTCGGGAAGCAGCGGCCCCCACCCCCCCCCCAGGGCCAGGCTCTTGGGGAATGGAGCTGAAACCTCGCCTTCCTCTCTGACCACCGACAGACACAGACTTTTCCCACTGACCTGCTAAGTTGTCTTTGGCATTCGTGGATTGAAGAGTCTGGAAACTGCCACAGCTGCCCACGATTCAGTCCTCTGAGGCCTGCTCCAGGTTTGCTACGTCCTGTGCGCTCACGCTGTGCTGTGCTGCGCTCCCGGCGTGGCGCGATACACCTTTCTGATCAATCGTCCTGGTTGTCGTGGGCTGGAAATTTGTTTCACCCTGTCTTTTATTGGGTTCTGCTGCTTCAGAATTTGTTTAGAGCCATTTTTTTATGAGTATTTGGAGGGGTTTGGGGGAGAGCTCAAGCAAGTCACTGCTTTCACTCCGCCATCTTGGCTCCGCCCCACAAAAGAACTTTTTAAATGTTATCTCATTTGGTCCTCCCAACAACCCTGTCATGTAGATGCTATTATTATCTCCATCCTGTAGATGAAGAAACTTGAGTCTGAGAAAGGTTAAATGATTTATCCAGGGTCACAGAGTCAGTGTCTCAGAAAGTATTTGAATTCAAGTCTTTCTGACTGGAGGTCTAGCAGTCTATGTATTATGTCACTGAGCAGGTCCACAAGGCAGCTGATCATGTGAAGCTGATGCTCAAGAAAGAGGCTAGGGTTGGATATATACATCAGGTATTCATTTGAATGGAGATAATAATTAAGCCTATGGGAACTGAAATGGTCACCAGTAGAGAGAGGATAGAAAGAAGAGGATAGATTACATAGACTATAATATTATATTTCATTTTCAGAAACAAAAGCAAAGAAAAATGTACAGATGTCTTAATAGAGACCTTATTTGTGATTTTAAATTTTGTAGATTGTTACTGATTATGAATATAAGTAAATCATAAACAGATTTTTGTAGGCTTTGAGGTAGCATAATATGGTTGAAAGAACGGTAGTCAAGAGACCTGGATTCAAATTCTACCTCTATCAATAGCTTTGTAACTATTAGTCAATCATTATATTCCTCGCTTAAATTTCCTCATCTTTAAAAATGAATATAATAATAATGATAATACATAGCTCACAGAATTTTGATGAGGACCAAGTGAGATAATATATATGAAGTGCTTTGTAAAACTCAGAAGATTGTTTAAATGCAAATTATTATTATCATATTTAGACCATTTAAAATTTTCATAAGGAGAATTTCAAAAAGAAATTACTATGTAAATCCTTTAATAGACTCTATTATTCTGGTACTTCAATGCTATTTATTTATATTAGCCAGTATCCTCTTTACATGTATCTTCAACTCTTCAATGTCACCATTATTAATAATTATATTTTGACTAAATGCAAAATGGATGGTAATGTGTTCAGAACATTAATGCTAGAACATCTAGTGTTTGTCAGTAAAGGTGCAAATCTTAGCAGGGTCACCTTAGTTCTTGTGACTCCTTAGGTACATTGTGTCCCTAGGTGGGTATCTTTTGGATGAAGCCCTAGGCCCTGCACACCTGTCTACTCTGTGGGAACACATAAAATCCCATGGCAGCCTTCCCAAAAAAGAATTGCTCCAGATTTCTCGGCCAACCTTCTAGCCTTGGATTATGCAAAATCTGCCTCACCAAGTAGTGTCCTTTCTACTATATTAAAACAAGGGACTGCTATTTAAATAAGTTCCCAAAGGCTTACTGCAGGCACATCTATACCAGGAAAATGAGTCATAAGAACCTTTCAGATGTCTATTTGAATTGTACCAATCCTTAGCTTCCTTTAAAACAAAACAAAAAACAAGCAAACAAACTAATTAAAAACCCTATTTATGTCTTAAAGAATATTGATGGTGGCAGAAAACCAATATTATTTTCATTTGCATATCATCAAAGCCTTTTTATAGTTTTTAAAGTTTAACATAGTAGAGAGGCAGTGTAGCAAAGAGGTTAGAGAACTGGCCTTTGAGTTAAGAAAACCCTGCTTCAAATCCTGTTTCCGACGCACTGTAATTATGTAACCATGGGTAAGTCACTTAATGTCTAAGACTATGAATTAATGACTAGCTTCCCCTCTGAATTAGGCAGGAAGATGCCACAGCAGGAACTCCTTATACATATGAAATCACAGATCTGGACAAAAAGGGCAGAGCAGAACCACCGAGAGAGAAAATACTAGAATACTGTTTTATAAAGCTGTACGCATCCTGCTTTTGCATGGGTGGGACAGACATTTACATCTTAATATTAGCATTAAAAACATTCTTAGATTAATCAAATCATGGCCTTAAAATTGGAGTTTCAAGATAAAGAAATAATGGAGTAGGTCTTCCACATTCCCTGGTTTTTGAAGTGTAAATAGATGAGTGCAAAGTCGATTCAAAGACAGTGATTAATTTAATTTCTTTTAAACCATTTAAAAATTTAGGACTTTTTTTGCTGAGAGCCAATGAATTCTGAGTGATTGGGATTTTATCCTTAGTGTTGGCACCCAGTTGAATGAAGTTGCCTTTAAAACTCATAATTATCACTGTCGTAATTACATAACTGTTACCTGCAGATAAAAAGAATAATTAGCATAGGTAAGTTTTTGTAGCACGATTTACCATTTTTATACTTGCAAAATACCATCTCTATCCCTGAATGTCTCTATTTAACGAAGCCACCTGGTTTTCTGACAATAAGAGATGTCAGTATGATTTTTCTCTTACAAAGGAGATACCAGTTGGTCCAAATAATGAAAATAATGTCAAGCAAAAAATAATCCATTTACTTAATACAGAAATTAAAGATGAACACAAACTTTTGATTGAGAAAGCTACCGTTTTTGCTTAGTTAATATGATGGCTTCATAAAGTATGCCAAATGGCCCAACATAAGATTGGTGAAATTAAATATTTCTCAATACTGAGCACTAGAAGCTAATCAGTCTTCCTTCTTTTATGGCCCTAGTGCTTTTCTCAGTAACACTAGCTGTTTGCTCATGGATTTTAAAGCAGCGCTGTTTTCTTTCTGTTCCCACAGGTCTTGGCCTGGCTATTCTTTCCCATGTCTTCTGTGCCAGGTATTCTATGTTTGCTGCTAAGCTTCTGACTCACATGATGGCGGCCTCTTTAGGTACTCAGGTAAGCCGACTAGATCTTTCAGAGGTTTCAGCAAGATGATCAGTTTGTTTTCCATGGTGATCCATAAAGTTCTTCCACTGGTCATGTGATTTGGATGTTCAGTTAGAATGTAACCTAATCCTAGTAGAGAGACAGCTTTCTTTCTTTTTGTAGGGGACAGAGAAGTCAGGAAGTAAAAATGTGCAAAATTTTCTTTGATTCTTGTTACACTGAGAAAGACTTGAACCTCACAGAAGAAAAAGTGGATGGAAAGTCCTTTGAACTTTTCTTCCTGGGCCAATTTTTACTAATACTAACACATTTTATTTTATCTTGTTGAATAAACTATTAACTTAGATGCCCTGCTATAAATTTACCTTGTTATACAGGTGTTTAAAAATCCTATAAATAATAAAACATAGGAATTATCTACCAACTGTCTACTTTCATCTCATGTTACAAGGTTTAATATATCCGTATGTATTTCAAATTGCCTTCTTTGTTTTTGTGCCTATTATAGTGGACAGGACATGACCATAATCCTTTTACTTCAAATTACATGTTTAGAAGCTTTTCTAAGTTTTTTTATAAGATGATTTCGTTCCCTCATGTTGACATTATATTTTTAAGATGACAAAAATATACCTTATTGAGAAGTATTATTTTCTTAAATGTTATTAGTTGCTGAATAACTATGGAATGAATGAGTGAACATTGAATGGAGAAATTGGGATATAAAATAGATATTGAGACATAAAAATAACAGGAGATTTGATTCAGGTTTCTCTTCTTATTCTAGCAGTGGGAATGGCATAGTGCAGGTTTCATAACTGCATTTTATTTTTTAGGGAACAAGTTAAGTGCTGAATTCCAAGCCAAGTGCTCCAGATTATGTTTTAAGAGTACCTGTGAAAGAAATAAAGTGGCAGCTGTTGTCCAAAAAGTGACTTGACCTGAATTTGACAAGGTTATTTATATTGGCTTGGTAACCTGTCTAAGCTGTCTGATCTTGCGTATGTCCCTTGCATGTAGCATCTCAGAAACTTGCCTTCCATAATTAGTTTACTTGGCTGTGTTCATCGCCCACTCTGGTGATTTTTGGCAGTGGTATTGGTACTAGGCTTAATTATAGCACCGTAGGATTACAGGCAACTACTCAAAAGTCCTAGCAGACAAATTTGCTCATGTCTAGGGATGTGCAAGGGATACCTAGGATTTGCATCACTTGTGCTCACAGCAAAATACCAGAATCAAATACTCTGTATTTTGGAATCCAGAAGTGCTCTTTTGAAAAATTGTTAAATGAGATCCATTTAGAATGACCAGCAAAATTATAAATTGTTCTGCTGTTGATAAAAATCATAAAATAGTTGTTGTACTATTTTTTTCTAATGCAGGTTTTCTTTAACACTAGTTTGGGGGAGGGGAGGTGATTTTATCTATGTTTTTTCATTGGTGGATTATTGGCATCCAAAATGTATTCTGATACTTAAAAAATCATTCTTTGGATACTATCACATGAATATGGCCTCAGACACTTAATGGTTTTGTGACCCTAAGCAAATCACTTAACCTTTGACTGCCTCAGTTTTCTTAGCTGTAAATTGGCAATAAAAATAGCACCTACTTCTCAGGATTGTTGTTAGATGGTGTTTGTAAAATGCTTTGCAAACCTTAAAGCATTATATAAAAATGCTAGCTTATTATTGTCTCCCATAATCAGACCTCTTAAAAAAATCAGCAAATTAGTCTGAAGTGACTGCCTAACCTCTCTTATTTTTCAATCCACGATACGTAATGCCACTTTCGGTGGTATCTAACATAAAAACAAGCTTTCTAGATGTCATGACACCTGATTGAAGTATCTTTGGAATTTGCTCTGAATCTCACTTTAGGGTCAACTCTTGTTTGAGGAATCCCAGAGATGTTAGGATAGTTCTAAGTTCTCCATCAGATCATTGATTTGTTGTAGGGAGGGTACAGGAACCTAGGTTGTTTGGAATGCCTGGTCCCCATCCTAGAGGAACACTGACCTAAGAGAAAACCCCATGAAAGACTTAGCATCATTCTAGTCCTGGAGAGACTCTAGTAATGAATGAATCTAACGAAACCTCCCTATTTGGGATCTATACTGTTATCTGGACAAAGAATTCTTAAATCTTTTTTTGTGCCCTGGATCTCTTTGGCCATCTAGTGAAGTCTTTAGCTAAGTATTTTTAAATAATCAAAAGAAATGCTAAATTTCAGTTAGAGGTTAGAGAAAATAAAGACACACACACACACACACACATTTTCCCTTTTTCAGGTTCACAAACCCCCTGAAATAAAGGCCCATGTACTGTAGTTTAAGAACCAGTGATCTAAAAAGAAAATCAAATTACCAGTATCAAAAAATGAGAAAGATGACTTCACAGCCAATGAAGAGGAAATAAAAGCAATTATTAGGAGCTATTTTGCCCAACTATATGTCAATAAAACTGACAATCTAAATGAAATGGATTAATATTTACAAAAATATAACTTGCCCAGAAGAACAGAACAAGAAATACTTAAGTATCTCTATTTTAGAAAAAAGGAAAAAAACAAGCCATAAATGAGCTCTCTAAGAAAAAATCCCCAAGGCCAGATGGATTTACAAGCAAATTCTATCAAACATTAAAGAACAATCAATTCTAATGCTACATAAACTGTTTGAAAAAATAGGTAAAGAAGTCCTACATAATTCCTTTTATGACATAAAATGTGGGTTTGATACCTAAACCAAAGAGAATCAAAACAGAGAAACAAAACTATAAATCAATTTTCTAATGAATAATGATGCAGAAATTTTTAAATAAAATTCAACTGAGGAGATTACAGCAATGTATCACAAAGATCATATACAATGACCAATTTGCATTTCTGCCAGGAATGCATGGCTAGTTCAATATTAGAAAACTATAATTGACCGTAACAGTAATAAAAATAATAAAAATCACATGATTATGTCTATGATGCAGAAAAAGCATTTGACAAAATATGATAACCATTCATGTTTAAAAAAAGAACACTAGAAAGCGTAGGAATAAGTGGAACTTTCCTTAAAATGTTAAGTATTAATCTAATTAAAATCAAGAACAAGTGTTATCTGTAATGGGGATAATAAGCAGGAAGCATTTCCAATAAGATCAGGAGTAAAGCAAAGACATCCATTGTCACCATTACTTTCTGCAGTATTATACTAGAAATGCTAGCTATAGGTATATGACAAGAAAAAGAAATTGAAGAAATGAACATAAACAAATTAGGAAACAAAACTGTTACTCTTTACAGATGGTAAAATGGTTTAACTGGAGAACACTAGATTGTTAACTAAAAAACTAATTGAAATAATTAACAACTTCAGCAGTTTCAAAATTTAAAATAAATCTACAAAAATCATCAGCATTTCTGTATATTACCAATAAAAACCCAGCAGGAGAAGACAGAAAGAGAAATTACATTTAAAATAACTACAGACAGTCTAAAATACTTAGGAGTCTACCTATCAAGATACACACAGGAACTATATGAACACAATTACAAAATATTCTTTTTTTTTTGCTACAGAAATGGGAGCTATTTATTCACTTTTCAAGGCAATATATTCTGTTATTAGACAGCTCTAATCATCCAAGGGTCAGATCTAGGAGGTGTGAATGAAAGCCATGATATCAGGAGTGATTTCTTGATAAACAAAGCTACCCCAAACTTGAATGGGTGGCCTGGGGGACCCCTTGAGGCAGCATGATGGTACAGTGGATGGAACGATGGTTCTGAAGTCAGGAAAACCTGAGTTAATATCCAGCTTCAGATACTTCTTAGATGTGTGACCCTGAAGCAAGGCATTCAACCTCTGTCTGCCTTAGTTTTTTTTTTTAATTGTATAATGTGAATCATAGTAGTACTTCCCTTTCAGGGTTGTTAGGATCAAATGAGATAATAATTATTTTGCTTGCCTTTTCTTTTTTTTTCTTTCTTGTTTTTCAGTTTTCAACATTCACTTTCACAAGATTTTGAGTTCCAAATTTTCTCCCAACTCACCCCTCCTCCTACCCCAAGATGGCATGCATTCTGAATACCCCTTCCCCTAATCTGCCCTCCCTTCTATCTCCCCCACTCTCATCCCCTTCTCCTTCTATTTTCCTGTAGGGCAGGATAGATTTCTATACTCCATTTCCTGTATTTCTTATTTCCTAGTTGCATGTGAAAACAATTTTTTTAACATGTATTTTTAAAACTTTGAGTTCCAAATTTCTCCCTTCCTGCCTCCCCACCCACCATCATTGAAAAGGCAAGCAACTTGATCCAGGTTATACATATGTAGTTATGCAAAACACTTCAATAGTAGTCATGTTGTGAAAAACTAACTATATTTCCTTTAATTCTATCCCACCCTCCATTTATTTTATTCTCTCTTTTGACCCTGTCTCTCCTCAGAAGTGTTTGCTTCTGATTACTCCCTCTCCTAATCTGCCCTCCCCTCTATCATCCCCCTACTCTCTTGTCATTTCCCCCCCTCCTATTTTCCTGTAGGGTAAGATAGATTTCCATACCCAATTGAGTGTGTATGTTATTCCCTTCTTAAGCCAAACCTAATGAGAATATGATTCACTCATTCCCTCTCACCTTCCTCCACTTCCCCTCCATTGTAAAAGCCTTTTCTTGTCTCTTTTATGTAAGATAATTTACCCCATTCTACCTCTCCCTTTCTTCTTCTCCTAGTATAATCCTCTCTCACCCCTTAATTTTATTCTCCAGATATCACCCCTTCATCTTCAACTCACCCTGTGCCCTATATCTATCTATCTATCTATCTATCTATCTATCTATCTATCTATCTATCTATCTATCTATCCATCTATCCATCTATCTATCTATATACACACATATAATTTTTTACCTCCAACTACCCTAATACTGACAGAAGTCTTATGAGTTACAAATATTATCTTTCCATGCAGGAATGTAAACAATTCATCCTTAATAAGTCCCTTATGATTTCTCTTTCCTGTTTACATCTTCATATTTCACCTGAGTCTTGTATTTGAAAGTCAGATTTTTTATTC